TGGTATATTACTGCCTCCTGTTGGCAGTAATATACCATGACATCAATAATTAGATAATACAACGTAGATAACACAACACAGGAGGCAGTAATATACCGTAACACCAATAAGTAGATAGTACAACACAGGATTATTGATGTCATGGTATATTACTGCCTCCTGTGTTGTATTATCTACTTATTGATATCATAGTATATTACTGCCTCCTCTATTGTATTTTGTGTGTTTTTACATTTTACTAGTTAATTATTATTGCCATAGTATCTTACCGTCTCATCTGTTATATATGCTGAAGATTGTTTTTACAGTTTAGTGAGAAAAAAGTTTTGTAATATAAAAATAACTATAAAGATTTTGTAAATGTGAGGCATTTTTAATATACATGCAGCTATAGTTTTTTTATGTGTTAAATTCAAAGCATATTAGAACACTGAAGTGCTGTGCTGTGTCAGCTGTCACAGTTAAGCAGGGTCAGTGGTAAAAAATCTCACCCATTGCAGCTTTATATGAAACTACATGTTGTTGGAAAAGGATAAACAGAAATTTATACCAAAGTGTCAAAGTAATGGTCATGAAAATAAATATCCACATTTATTATTTTTAACATTTACAGTCATTTTTTCCAATTAGAAAGTGTATACAAATTTTTTTCTTCAGAAAAACAATTATGCGTATAATTATAAAAGAATTAACATTAATTTCTTCTATATTCGTTCAGCGTATATAACATTTGACAAATGTTTCTACATATAAGTTGTATGTTAAAGCTAATGAAATAAGTAATATAAAAATTTGAAAATTACTGATCATCAATCATTACAGCGAAGACGAAGAAACGAAAAACAGTCACTTATTATCTGAAGAAACTGAAGAAGAGAACATTAGTCATCGTGTATCAAAGAAAATTCAAGAAACAAACCAATCATTTAACAAGAAAACACTCAATAAAAAGAAATCCTTTCTGAGTGACACTGAAAATAGTAGTGAAATTAGTTGGCTTGGAGGAAAAAAGAGAAAATTGAATGTTCCAAAAATAAAGCACACTTATGAAAAAAAGTAAGTGTTATAATACACTGTGTCTGAATTTTTAATCAGTTAAGTAATGCTTACATAATACAGGGTGACTATAAAGTTACTTTATGTATTTTGTTGTTTAAAACTCTCAAACTTTAACACATGTTAGTGGCATTAACTGTGCATTCACAGGGAGTCATGGGGGAATGTATGCCCAGAGTTTTTCAGAGTTGGCCATCTGGGACACCATTTCTGCTATACTTATGATAAGTTTTATTTTGATATCTTGTGATTTAATTTTAAGGTTTCTAAAAGAAAGCAATTAGTTTAACAGAATATTATACATATCTTAAAATGTTTTTTAAAATGACAAAGATTGTCAGTTTATGATGCAAGTATTTCATTTATCAACACAGTTACTTGTGCTCATGTGAAACCTGATGAAATTTGTTTGCCAATTAATAGACCACATGAAATATCATTTAATGCATTAGAAGTACATTTTACCACTTGTTTTATGGCATATGTATTAGTTAAACTATAATTGCAATGAGTTTTTGATTAATCAACATGAAATATTGCTCATGTTAGTTACCAAAAAACCTTTGATAAAAATAGGAAATTATGTTAAAAATCATTCTTTCTAGTTTGAACAACTAAAAAAAAAGTAAGATTTAATTCATTTAAAAATGAGTAAAATATTATTTTAATTGAAATTAGAACTTCGAAAAAATTAAGTTAAAGCTGTGAAATTATGAAAAAGTATAAAAACAAAATACTTAACGTTATTTAAGTTGTAGATCTTAAATATGATTTTGTGTGTTCAGTAAATTTTATCTCAAAAAGTGTAGCAAGTAAGGTTAGTTTATAGAGTAATAAAAAAGGGTGTAATATCTTTTCTACTTTCAACATTTACCAGGTTGCAAGGCTTGAGCATTTAACTGTGTTTAAAATAATCACAGTTACTCACAAGTTAAAATACAAACTGCACTGAAGCCAGTTTTGTGGATGGAATTTCATATTTTACATGAAAGTGAAATCCCAACGCAACAAAGTTTTTGAATCTTAATGTGGATGTTTTAAATTTATTTAATATTTTATTAAAGAGTAGCAAGTCAGACTTTTATGTTATTTTCTGACACACCAGTAATATCATCTTGTGCATTATCATTAAACAATTGTTGTTGTTTGTTTTGGACTATTCAAAAAAATTCTTAGAAAAATATGTATCCTAGTTTGATTGATAGCCTACGAAAACTGCAAAAAATGTTCTTGCTATTATCATTATAATCAACAAACAGTAGGGCTATGATAAAGGTAGATATTTTACAATAGTATTAATAAAGAAATGTAAAACAAATAAGTTTATGCCAGTGTTTCTCAACTACAGGTCTGACAACCACCTAGCCAGTCTGTGGGATTTACAAAAATAAATAAGTATGCATAAACTGGCAGAATACTCGTATGTAAATTGTAATGGATTTTCATTGTATTTGCATTTTAGTGATCTATGACAGTATGGGGAGGCAGTCCCTAGTATTGAAAAAAGTTGAGAAATGCTGGTGTATACAATTCCTCAAAAAATGTAGGAAGAAACATTTTATGAGGTGTTCATCTTTGTTTCATAAAAATTTAAGTTGATAATGTGGATTTAAGAGATTGAAAATATGTACATGTTGAAAAGAAGATTTAGCACACATATATATATTTCCACTTTTGTTTTACAACTGAATTTTAATACTCCAATTTTATTTAATACAAACTCATTTGAAGAAGAAATACTTAGGACTGTCTAATGGCTATAAACTAAATTACACAAAGATTGGGTTTTTGTTTGTGTGCAGGTTCTAGTAACTAAGTGTGAAACTGACAAACATTTCTATGTAACTTAGTATTTATATTTACATTTTTTTTTCAACCTCTGTAAGGTTAACCTGAAAATTTTCCTGAAGTAGATTTAAAGTCAGGTGGTCCTACTGGAAAAGTACATAATGAGGGTGATGAGTTTTTGAAATGTTTAAACTTTTAAACTCCCATTTCAGAAACTTGAAATCAAAAAAGACAATGAAGAAATATACAAGTACTAGTTCTGAAAATGATCAGGATGAAGAAACCAAAGGAACATCACATTTTGGTTTGGTGAGCTTTTTATCATTTCTAAGCTGTTTAATGTAAAAAAAATGTGTTCAAATTTCTGTGCTTAAATCTATGCAATTTCTCGCCTACACTTTGAATGAAAACTTGAAATTATGGAATATGAAAAGTTCAAACAATCAAAAAGAATTGGTAGTTATTTTTGATGAGTAAAATTTTACTACTGACTGTAAGCAAATACAACAGATATTTTTATGCTTTTAGCACTATAAGCTGCATACAAACACACACATATATAATACATTTAAATTGACTTTAGACATATGAAGATGAAAGTAAGAAATGCTATTAAACATTCAGTAAATTTTAATTTGAAGTAAACAAATAATCCTGTTCAGAACAGTTTGAGAATGAGGGCCAAACATATCGGCTAATACTGACATCAAGTGACCATATCTTAGGAATACTGACACTGAAATGTTTGTTTCGCCAAGTAATCGGTTTTTCGTATTGACATTCAGCTTTCCTATATTTCAGCCACTTATTTGAGTGTACAGTAACTGTTCCTATAAATTATTAACACACAAAATTTACTACTGTGGCTGCAGTTTTATTTTGACACATTATAAATAGCTGAGAGATACAGTGGTATACTTAAGAGAATACCGTAATGAACAAAAAAAGAAGCATCTTACAAATTCAAGCAATGAGTATTGCAGTATAGTTTTGATGCAAATGTGGTGTCCTAAAAGAGAGTACTTACGATACTTAAGAACCACATTAATTTAAAAAACTTATTTTGATGTAACCTGTGTAAAATACACTTTAAACTAAGAGATGGAACTTCCTACCCTATCTGATTTTCCATGGTTTCATAAATAAATGCAACAACTGCAAGGAGTATATCATAATGTTTCTTCTACCTATTTCATTTGTCGTTTGGTACAGTTTTCTTTTCCTGAAACTAAGCATAAACATCAGATTTAATCTGATTAATTACCATTATCCTCTTTTTGGTTAATTTTTGAGCAAACCAAAAAGATATTTTCAAAGTTTTACTAATTCTTATGCGGAGACAGTAAGAAATAAATAACATACTTAATTAAAGATTAGAAAGAACTATCTTTTTAAAATTCACACAAGTTTTTATTGGTTGTACATAGTACATTCCATTCTCTTTTGTAAATAGAATGAATTTCTGTACTTAGACTCAGGCCTAAACATTTTATTTATTATACCCAAATTTGACATTTTATTGATAAATTACTTTATTGTTTGCAGTTGCTTAGTCGTATGCTTGTAAATTACTATCACTATAGATTCTCACGTGATTTTTTAAAATATGATTCTGTTAGTCTCAATTCTTGTAATCCACCTGATGATGCCAGATAAACCTGGTGAAACATTATGAATAAAATAAACAAAAGAATCACATACTGTGTTTAATAACATAAAAATGTATAGGTATGCTTAGATATAATTCAATCATGAAGAACTGATCACTTTGGCAAGTATTTCACGTGAACACACATTATAGGCTTGTCAAATGTTAAGCAGTACATTAATTTCCAAATTAGCCTTAACTTAAAAAGAAAACTTTTGTAAATTATCTATGTACAAGCAAGAAAAATGTATATAGACTATTTCAGGAAATTCTGGGAATGCTTCCAGAACATAAACACAAATTAATTTGGAAGTGAGAATGCTTGCCATGCCTTTAGGTGGTTTTCTTTGTCTACATAAGATTTGTTAATCTACTTGTTTACCTCTTTTTTAATTATGACAAACACTAAAAAGTTTTCTGTTGATTAATGAATTAAGCTCTGTTAGTCATTCAGTTTTGATTGTTTCTTGTGAATATTTCAATTTTTAGACTTGTATCAGTGACTGTAAATATCTTTTACCTAAAATGATCAGTTTCTGTGGAAGTACAAATATAATAGTACTGTACTCAGATATCAGTTCAAGACAACTGACTTTCTAAAAGACAAGTTGACATATATAGTATTTTATTCAATAAAGAGGGAGCTCAGGATATCAAAATATATATATTTGTTTTGCTCAGTTTCACCTATTTTTTTATAACTGCACTGGCCCAGCCAAACAATTATCACCAAACTACATGATGGATTCACAATACATTGTGCATATGTTCGTGTGTATACTCTAACAATGAACTCACTGATTCAATAATCTCAGTGTTGTGAATGTAGTATTATGTCTTTTCAAATCTATGTACTATGATTAATAGTCTAAGCAGTTACATTGTATAATCTAATTTGACTTTTGTCTCTTTCATGTACTATAAGTCTTATTTAAAATGTTCTTGAAATTAGCTTTATTTCATAAATTTTGTTCTTCCTGTTAGTTGTACCATCTGAACCTCGGACTCTGGATTATCTATTTTACTTGTATCATACTTGCATTTTAAACACCATTATTTGCTTTTGTGTGAATTCCCTTCATCATAATTAAGTTATTGGGTTATTAAAGTATCATATTCATTTGATAAACGTTATTTAGACTCACATTACAAGATAATCATTACTGGCTAAAATCTCAATGATTGTTTGGTATTTTCATCTTTGATCATTCGTAAACATTTATAACCAGTGTCGTCATGTGGAACACACTAGCCATTTCTAGCAGTGTTGCCTACATAAATATAGATGCCATATTTTCTGCAGCATAGGTTTTAAAAAGAACGACTACAGTAAAATCATAAGACTGAGTCAATGTACCATTTCATAACCAAATTAACTTCTGTAGCATTCATCGTTTTTATAACATAGCTTTTTTATGGATAAAAGTATATCTGCTCTCTTTGTATAGGAATATGAATTTTTAAGTATAATTTAACAAAGTGACTGTCTTATTAATATTTAAACTCTTATATTGTACTTATGGTGGGAATTGCTGACACTAGCTTGCACTGTGGCATTCAATAAAAGGTAAATCAGTACAACCCTTCTTCCTTGCTGTCACTGATTGCTTGGAATTTTGTGCTCTTAGGAACTTCACACTGATGAATTAAGAAATAACATTTAAAGTAAAATGTAGTTCTTCAAAATAATAGTTATCTGTTCCATTCCACCTCCCCATACCTTCTGTCAATATGTAGCCTGTGATTTGAGCTACCATTGTATTTGGGGTCTTATGCATACTGAGGGTGAAACTACTTGAAGTTTTTATCAAAGTTGATAATGTAAATGTATTTAAAATATTAAAAACTGGTTCATATAATTAACAAAAAACATACCATCATCTGTTTTCATGATGTAGTGAGACTATTCTTTTGACTATCTATACACGTATATATTCAATTCTTAGTTTTTCACGTATTACATAATGGTTCACTGTTCTTATAGCAGTGCATTTTAAACACATTAAATGAGAAACAGCTACGTGTGAAAAGTTTCTGGTACTGTCATTTTTAGGATGAGATAAAATATATTTATCCACTGGATCATATGTTGTGTTATATTAACATGTTCAGCTAATACGATTTTCTTATTTTTAACACTGCTCATTTGTTCTGTATTTTAAGTTCCTTGTAGTCTGACTTGTGTATAAGCTTCTATATTCACAAATTATACTTTAAATGTTTGTTTGGGTTGTTGTTTTTCATTACATTCACGTTGTCCTTAGTTTTATGTAATAATTGATTTACTTTACTTGTGGGCTTATAAAACGTTAGTTGTATTTCAAAAATATTAAAAACTTAACAAGATCAATCAGGTATATAGGTTAAAAATGATAGTTCCAGAAATATTTCTAAATTGTTGAAGATAATTATTTATAAGAAAATATTGTGTTAAATAAGGATGAAGAATTAATGGAACAGAATGGAAGTAGATAGAAGTAGATTCTGTTAAAAAACATGTAGATTAAGATAACACATGATTGTACAGAAGGCATAAATAGTGTAAAGTTCTTATCAGTTACACTCCTGAAGATGATGTGTTAAAACATCAAAACATTTGGAATGTATTTGAGACTGTAAATCAGGCTCAACTAAAAACGATTTTTATTGTGTAAACCAAAAAAAGTTTTCATTTTGAACTATTTATTTATGAATTTACACAAGTGGCCAAGAGGAATTTTATAAAGTAATCTTTCTATAATATAGTGATTGACACTTAGCCTTTTTTTTGGGGGGGTGAACTAATTTGATACTAGTTAGTGATTTTGTGTAATTCTTTATTTTTCCAACACTGTGTGATATGAGAACCAAAATGACATTAGTTGGTAAAAACGGAATAATTTTGTGTCCATATATGTCTGTAAAGCGTGGTACAAGAACTAAAGTGGCACTAGTTGTTAACAACAAAGTAGCTTTATTTTCGCATATCTCTTTTTCTAGAATAGTAGTGAAGTTTAAATGTTATTTTGTTATAAAACACCTACAAAGTAACTTTTGTTTCTTGTTATTGTTAGAAAGGAAGAATGTATCCACCTTTGAAATTCTCTAAGGCTGCAGGAGTATTCAGCCTTACACGTTCGCAAGATAAACCAGAAGATCCGGAAGTGATCTGGTCTTCCCAAAAAGAGCAAAGGAAGTATTCAGTAGGTAAAGAAAAGAATAGTAAATCAAAAAAACTAATCAACAGAAAGTCATCTGGAACTGATTGGTCTGATATTGAAAAATTTAAACTAACAGTAGAACCTTCATCTGATTCCAAGACAAGAATGAGACTTTCAAGGTCTAATACTATAATTAAAGATGCACAGAAGGAACTAACACAATTAGTATCTGAAGATTTTCATGATAATGCTGGTATTGATGGTATGGTACCCAGTGCTGAAGATTTGGATGTACAGAA